CGCAGCAATTGAAAGAAACGACTGAGCCACAATCAAGTTTGAAACCCAATTTACAGTAGCCGCCATTCCCCCACATATTCCACGATACTCTTCAGGATATATTTCTGAGTTTACGGTCCATGGTACAGGCCCCATCCCGGGCGAAAAGAAGGCAATATATAGGGCTAAACCCAAAATCGCAAGCCACCCATATAATCCATTTGTAGAGTCAGATGTTTGGTTTAAAAATGACATAGTTAGGAGGATCAGAGCTGTGATTACTCCAGCTAAGCTATAAAGAGCCAATTTTCTCCTGCCTGCATGGTCAATAAGGTAGATGCCAAGAACCGTGCCAGCAGCATTCATGCCAGCTACTACGAGGGATAGGAGAAGAGCCAGCTCATTAGAGTGGAAGCCAGCCATTTGGACAATCGTTGGGCTGTAGTACATAACTGTATTTATACCTGTAAACTGCTGAAAAGCCTGCACAACAATGGGATGTTATCGGAATACTTCTAATTTCATGGAATGATATCATAGACATTCAAGTGCGAGCCAAATTCCATTATGCTTCCAGAACGGAGGTATTTGAACCTAAAATGGCTTAATCAGAGATAGTTGCATTTAACAACAAACAACGCATCATGAAATAAGGTACATTTGATCATCATACAAAACAATGCCAAACAAGTATTCAGGATGTTTTAAGTGCACAACCACGATCTCTTCTAAAAACACTCATAAGCAAAGTGTGTTCAAAGAACTCAGTAACTTCAAAGTCCACACTCACTAAGCAGTTTATGCTTCTGTTTTTACCCCAATGCCGATCATTTTGAATGAACCCAGGTCGTGTCTCTGTCTTGTGTGTGGCATTCAAATTCTTATTTCCAAACACACCCCACAGCATGTCTAGTAAACTACAAGTCTGTCAACCCTCAAGTTTCAATAGCATGGAGCATTTAAGAATAGTCATCCTAAATTTGGAACAGTATATTTTTCTGTAACATCGTATACTTATCAAGTTGCTCAAAATTCATTACCTGCAGCCCTGCTCCAGCAAGGAATGCAAGTCTTATTTCTTTAAATTTAAAAACATCCCAATATCTGATCTCCCTCATTTTGTTATGGTCTTGCTCTGACTGAACTCTAAGAAATTCAACTTCATCCTCTAACCGAGCAAAGTCATAGATCTTAGACAGCACATTAATAGCTTCATTTTTCCTGTCCTGCACATTGAGGCAAAATTATAAGATGGCTTTATGATTGATGTCGTTTGGAGGCAACCTCTTGAACATAATTTTTTGCACAATAATGCATGTCTGTACCTTCATGAAGAGCCATCTAGGGGATTCAGGTAGGAAAAGCATGAAGACAAATTGAATAACTGCCGGCACACCTGAAACTCCCAGCATCCATCGCCAAGTCCCTGGGACCTGACAGATTAAGAATGGGATAAGTTTTCAATGAAATATTACCAAAGAGTAGGAAACAGATATGCATAGACACAAGATCAGATCTTTCCATCTCTTCTCATGTAATTTGTTTCTGAGGTTTTGAACACTAAATCCTAAAACTTTAGAAAAACTGAAAAGCGCAAGAAATGTCAGCAGAGTATTCAATTAATGGCCAGTAGTAAGCATACTAAATCAACATGGGCATGTCAATACTTAATCACTTCATAACTGAACTGAGTACTGACACCTAGAAACCAAGTACTTTGACTTTCCAGCTCAAGCAGCTTGACATTTGACAGCATAATTACAAATCATCAGCTTTTGCTTAGGCAAATAATTTTGGATTCTTTGAACTGTCATTCTTTAGGCAAAGCTTTTATATTGCATTTATTAAAAATAGTATTCTCAAGAGAAATGAAGAGCAAAGAAACTGAAACGATTCTTGATCTTCATATAGTGCGCTGACAATGAGCTTGGCATCATGCAAAATTTTAAAATTTCTACTAGTTATAACCATCAACTGTATGCTAAGCTTGAATAATCTTAACATTGTTGCAAGTTACAGAAAGCAAATCCAAAAGGTGCAGCATGAAAATTGAAAACTGACCTGCGTAAAAGCAAGATTTATGAGGTAGGAAAGAAACTGTCCCACAGTTATCATGAGTGTATTTGTGCTTACTAGCCCTCCTCTTATTTCTGATGGAGATGCTTCTGCAATATACACAGGTGCAGTGACAGAAGCTATGCCTACACCCAGACCAACCAAAAGGCGACCCAATATGAGAACATAAGGATCTGGTGCAGCAGCCATGACAACCGATCCAATAGTAAAAATAACATCGGCAATAAGTGTGGCCTTCTTTCTTCCATAAGCATCATTGATCCAACCGCCTGCTGCTGCTCCAATGATAGCACCAATCACTGCCATGCTGACAATTGTTTCCTGGCAACACAGGTAAACATTTTGATCCAATGAGAAGGCACATTAAAAATTTTCTTGACAAATCTTAGAATTTTGGCATGCCCTTTCGCATCTGAGCAGCTTGTCATGAAATGTTTAAAAGATCTCTGCAAGAATAATAATGCCATATTGCTATGGTTTCATTACAACTATATTTTGGGCCCTATGCGTGCAGCTTGAGGTTGGAAGCTAAATTGTGCACAACTCTATGAACAATATGGCTTCCAATGGGCTATATATACTAATATTAATTTTGATAATACGTGGTTTATGTTCTTATGTATTTGGTTGGAGAAAAATGAAAATATCATCAACAATGTCTCCTTGTCCTCATCTTTAGTTATTAGATACAATTGTGTGTATGGCTTCTCTTAAGCGATCTGCTTAAACAAGTTTCCAGGAAATTTCGAGCACTGAATTGAAAAGAATGACAACTTCTTGTGCCCGAGAAATTTTGTTTGCTGTTTTCTTTTCATTTTTCTTCGTAATAAGAATTCTTATTCTCCCCTAGATGTACCGTCTCACTTTTTTCCTAGTAATACATTATATAAATAAAGCAGTTGGATTGATGAACGATCAAGTCTACTTCCTAACTCAGCAACATTGAAAGAGAACAGAAAATATTGTACCTGTAGAAAATTACTGTCTCTGACTTCCTGAAATTCATCTTTGATATACAAAAGGGCTCCTGATATAACACCTATAATAAACAGCATTCCCACATGATATATATATATATATATATATTTTTAAATCAGAGAATAACCAAGTTATCCAGAATGAGCAACACTTTCAGTAAAAATGGTTCTTCTCATGAAAGAATAATAATAAGAAATTGTGGAGAAATTTATTCTTCCCGTTGCCTTGAGTACCTTTCAAGAAAACTTACATGAAACCTGGGTTATAAAGAAAGAAATTTCTTTCAGTACAACCCTCCCTTCTGAATGTTCCGCTACATAGAAAAGCGAAAAGAATGCGTGTGCGCTCGGGCGCGCTCGCGGAGCATATGTTAACTATCAACAAATCATGTCATTCCATAGCTCTGGATTTGATATAAAACAAATAGATAGATAAACCCTTGATGCTATGCAATACGGAGGTTAGTTGCTTACTTTTCTTCGGATATAATTCCAAACTGTCAGTTTTGTCCGTTGCATACCATAAAAATTACCAGTACAAGACTAGGTTGATCTACCGAAACGCTGCTAAGGACAAAGCTATGATTATAAAAATGATAGAAAGGAGGCAAGAATAAATTAAAATTTACCAAATACACCGATAATAAGAATTTAAGTTGAACCAAATATGGTCAAGTTGTAAAGCTTAATCAATCGCTATTCTATTTCCACTCATCGACAAAGCAGTTGTCAACCAATCTTTGTTTACCTGTGTCGTAACCGAAGAGCAGTCCCCCGATGCCGGCAGCGGCAGTGAGTCCCAGAATATAAGGGTTCTTGAAAAGAGACACTTTCCTCTCAGGGTGTAAATCTAAATACCCTGAGCTTCCTGGCGCGGACTGCATAACGATCGTCATCGTCGGGCACGAAACAAGAACACTCTATCTAAGTCAGCGTAAATATTTACACCCGAAATGGCGAGTGAATCCAGGGAGATTCATAGAATTGAAAAAGAGAAATACAATGAGGGGTGGGAAGCCATGAATAATTTCACAGAATCGGAAATGGGTCAACACTGGGAAGGAGTTACAATCAGATTTTGCAAAACTATACGACACTGAGAGTCTAAGACTGAGCTATGGAACCAGAAGAAAAGTATGAGGATTCAAATTCTGTTTGAGTAGTTTCCAGAAAAAGGAATTAGCAGAGCAGAGAAGCGCCGCTCTGAGCTAGAGGGTAATCAATCGTCAGCGCCAGCTGGAAGTTTGTGGTTGTGCCAATCTGGTTAAAGGATGATGTGGCCTCTGAATTTTATAATTCATATTCCAATATTATTGGCGCTTTCACATAAATTAAATTAATTCTGTTCAATATTTCGATTTCGCTAATTTATATCATTAATCAATCATATTAGTAGTGTCAGGTGTCGCGTCCTATATAATTTTTTGGTTTAATTTTAATAATAATTAAATAGGATTTTGGGGGGAAGAAGAAATCGCTCCCAGGTTGCTTGTGAAGATTTTAATTTTCAAGAGATTTTATATAATGCATAAAATATTAATAATTTTAAATTTATATAATTACAACTCAATAAACGAAGATGATGACTTGAGCATGAATTTAATATTAAATTTTAATGGATAAAATTTGAAATTTAGTAATAATTTGTATATTATATAAGATTTTAAGATAATTAAAATTATTGTGTGAGGAAAAAAAATTAATTGTGCCGAGAAATTTGAGAAAAAAAAAAAAGGAGCATGGCGGAAGGCTGGAGAAGGCTGGAGAACTTCATGGGCTATCTATATATATATGAAATCTATTCCCCCAAGCAATCTGCCAAAAAAAAATGGCTTAGCTACAGTAACTCGTTTGTCTTATTTCCTTATCTACAGTAACTATTTTGTCCTATTATATTGGCTACAGTCATTTCCGTCTTCTTGTAAAAGCTTCCTTTTAGACTCTTGGCCATCATTATACTATCCAGTTGATCACAAAAGCTTGATTCCACTAATCCATGTATTGGGATCCATGTAGTTATTTACTTATTTATTATATTTTTCGGGTATCGTGCTCTGGACAACTTTTACTGCTTAATTTGTCATGCAAAGATGCTCTTATTTCTCGACACCTTTATCACTTCCAAGAACTTCTGTGGCATTTGGTTAACACGGACGTTTTCTTTTACAGGTCTCACTTAACGCGTGTTTGAAATTGTTTCTCATTCCTTTTTCATCCACGTATCTCTCCACACCTTCATTACTCGCAGGAACTCCTAATCTACTCAATGACTTCTGCTTATGAAATCCTTGCATCGTCAAAGCATGATATGCTTGATGATCTCGATCCTTCAAAATCAATTTCATCCGCAATTGTTGTGAAGGTCGATAGGGTTTACCCTAAGTCTGATATAAACCTATTTGATAGGATTTGTGGATGGCCCAAGAAAGTTGCCTCACTGGACTTTATTGTTTTTGATAGTAAGGTCAGTATTTATGTTATAAACAATTTTTATTCTACATAGAAGTTTATTCAATATACATATGAAGTGTTCTGCTTTATTTTACAGCTATCCAGAATGACAATATCTCTCATTGGTGATGATATAATTGACCGCTTCTCCAATCGTTTAGAAGAAAAGAGCACTTATTTTATACACCGTTTTAACGTTGCTGTGGGTGGTTTTGATATTCACTCAAGGTTTCATATTGAGTTCTTTCCGGATACATGCATTCATGTATTTCCTTGTCCTATGGTTGACTATGTTTTCAAGATAAGACCGGTGGAAGAAATAAGACGTGAATGGTGGCCAGTAAATCGTGTTCGCGGTCAGTTCCTACTACCTGATAAGTTTGAAGTGCATGTATATAATGTAATGATGTGCGTTACTTATTAATTTCCATGTTTGACGATGTTTCAGATGTGTGTGGTTTCCTCCGAGCTGTGGGTGGGCTTTTATGGGACAGATATCATGGTCTTCTTACATGGAAGTTTTCGTTTATTGTAGAAGACATCCAGTTAAGTTTAATTTTTTTTATTTCCAGTTAAGTTTAAATTTCAATTTTTTTTTATTTATTACCTTGAGATTAAATGGCTTCTTGCAATACCTGTGCCTGTAGTGGTAAAATGATTTCATGTCTGCTCTACGGCGATGTTGCAAAGGATGCATGGAAAGACTTTGTCATGCATAAGGGAAAAGTGAACCTGATTGTAGCTGTCCAGTATGGTTTGGTTAGAAGTGATCAAGGTGGGTGGCTTTTTAGGTATATGAGCCCTGTTTAATTTTGTTTTATTTTAAATAAAGGAATGAGAAATTATGTCTTTTTCTTGTAGGTTATTGTTTCTTGACTAACTTCAGTTCTGCTACAATGATTTTCTGGGATCCAAAATTCAAAGAGCTTGCTGATATACGCAATGCATTGCTTCAGAGGAGGATGTCTGAGTCTGGTGTTTAGGATGTATTGCTTATGCATTCTAATATGTTCTAAATTTGTTAACCTATATGTTAAAGTATTGTAGCTTGCAATTTACTGTTTCAATTTTATGTATTTCTTTATAGAAAATGCATAGTCCAATTGTGTAGTGAGTATTGGTGCCTTAAATTGGCATCATATTAGTAATGGAGACTCCTTTTATGTTTTTTCTTTTCCCATAATAAAATGGTTACCATTATAGTTATTAATATGATCTTTATATTTCAATTAAAATAAAGGAATATGATAATGCACATAATGTAATTGAAAACAAAAATGAGTGCTTATATAAATGATCATTCAATAATTTAAGTCTAATTTAAATTTCAAGATAATAAAAGACCTTGTCTTAAAGAAGACAATATTCTAACAAACAAAAAAACTACTTAAATTAAATATCATGTACTGCGACAAATCCTAAATCCTCTCCCAAGGCGTTGCTTGATGGTAGCAAACTAAATGACGCATGGACATCACCATCTTCATTGCTTGGGACGTTTTCTTCTGCATGAGAATCCATCACGTATGTTACGTTCATGCGAATCATTGTACCTGTGCGCATCTGGAATGAACTATGATGAGTGTATGGACCTATCTTCATGTAAGTTGCTGTCCAAAAGTTGTATATTACAAGCTGTCGGGACATCATCGTTGGCATTTTTGCAAGTATAAAACTGGTGAAGGTTCGGAGCTCCTCAAGACACAAACTTGGTGGCAAGAAATATTCATATTCAGCATCTTCCCATCTTCCATTTTGAAGGCCAAAGCTACGTAATATTCCATAGAACATCCTAAAAGTTATGTAGTCATCTTCGTACCATTTATTACTTCTTGGGTGCACTCTTCCGTTTTCAAATACACAAAGCTATATATCATCATTGACATATTGCACTGACCCTGTTGAGATAACAGAAAAATCATGAGAATCCATCATTTGAAGAGGACCACAAGATATGCGAACTCTTGACACATTATATCTCCTCCATCGCCTCATCAAAGAGAATATTTCTGTCTCGCAGAAACGGTTAAAACCATCCATCATGGACTCTTGAATTTTAGATGAACGGGGTTATCTATGATATTCAAGAGTGCAATTGGTGCTTTGAACATTTCCCCATCTATTGCATTATATAATGCTAACGGATGATGATATTCTTTATGAGTTGTCAATTCACCACTGTACCAATTGTATGTATCGTGGTATAAAATACATATAATTGAAATGATATGTATACATCAAATAAAGATTCATTCCTTTTTTAGTTTAGTAGGATGCTGTAAAGGTGGTTTTGAAGGTACTATATGTTATTGTCTTATTACTTTTTTGTTTAATTTATGAAAGTCTTCAGTATCTACTATTGATAAAAGTAAGCTTTTTCTTTTTCATGAAAGAAGTAATTTTTTTTTTGTTCAATGATTATTCATTGTGCAGTTGCAGCAACTGTTGCAATTTTTTCAAATTTGGTAAAAGGCAAGATAAAAGTAACAATAATATATAATTGTATTAATAAATGCATATATTTGTTTGGGAAAGTTTCATCACTTTATTTACTGTAACGTCACTCAATGGACATTATAAGTAGTAGCGAAAACTATAGCAGGCATATGCTTTTTCAGATAGTTTCCTTGGTTACAAAAGATTCATCTTTTGTATCTGTTTCTTTAGAGATACATTTGCGACCTATTGCTCTGTCATCAATACAACATATCCTTTTTTTCTCCTTAGGACATGACTTACTTTATACCTTTTCATTTTGCCGCCAATTGAGTTGAAGTAGCCATTTTATCATTTGGCATGAAGGGAGTTGTGTAATCACTTCTGTTCTTGGCTTCCCTCTGTTGAGAATAAATATTTATAAGAGGTTCATTCTTTTGAATTTTTTTGGTTGGATATGTAAGGGAACATTTTTTTTTATTAAAGATTATCATGTACTGTTTTTCCTTTAATCTGATTATATATTAGAAAAGATAATTTGTAGTACCTTTTTAATTATAAATTTCCCATAAAATGTTACACTTCCAAATATTTTTCTTCTGGGTCAGAATAGTAAGTTGGTTTTCATCTACTTTTTTGCTATCCTCGAACAGATAATTATGCTGCAAAACACTGTCATTTTTGTAGCAATTGTAGGGTCTAAGTTTAACATGAAGTTTGACATTATATGCTGTTATTGAAGATAGTTCAATTGCTTTCATTTGGAGGATTTTGACCATCCTTATAGATGTATCAGTGAATAGTTGTTTGATAAATTGGATGCACACTTCACGATTGTTTCCTTATTTGTGTTAATATCGTTTCTCAATGCACCAGATATGTTGTCAAGTCTTGTTTCTAATTAATGACTCTATGATGCATAGTTTTATAGGTTTTATGAACAGATTGATATTTTCAAGTACCTCGAACTTTTAAATATTGAAAAGGACCTAAACATTTAGCATGTTGATCCCTTATCTTGTCAAGTCTATTGTCAGGTCTTAATTATTATTTAATGCACATTTCCTTCATTTTGATACTAATAAAATGGCACACTATTTAGTCAAGATGGATAGATGCTTTTTCATTAAGACCTTTTATAAATTACTGACACATATCAGTAGAGTTAATAATGGTCAGCATCTCATATTTTTGTGTTACTATGAAAAGTAGCCTGACATATATTGCCATTTTGTATGTTGTGTTTTATGTTATTTTTGTCTTTAGTATTTATTACATATAGATTTATAATATCTGTCATTTGTCTTTTCTATCAGGCATGCCCTTGGTAGTTTGTATATTAAAAGTTGGCCAAAACTGTCAAGCGTTTTGAAGTAACATAGTTTTGGCATTATAATTCTGAGGATGAATTAACTTCTTAGTTGTTTTTTCCCTTATTAATGAAAGTCAGCATCTTCTTTTGATACATTGTAAATATGACTAGCTATTAGGTATTTAATTTTTCTTCAAAATATGTGCTGCCATTCTCTGTCTTTTTTTTTCTGTATCAGTTATTTGGCCACCCCAATTTCATACTAACACAGTATCCTAGGTGAGTATATACCTCATGTTTTAGTGTCCTTCATACATTAATTTATTAACATCATCAATAAAGCTTATTACTATAATGTCAGCATGAAATATGTTACAATTGGTAACTTTAACTTGCAAACCAGTTGCCATATCAGGCTTTCGATACATTGCAAATATGACCAGCTATTATGTATTTAATTTTTCTTCAAAATATGTGCTGCCGTTCTCTATCTTTTTTTTTTGTATCAGTTATTTGGCCACCCCAATTTCATACTAACACAGTATCTTAGGTGAGTATATACCTCGTGTTTTAGCCTCCTTCATACATTAATTTATTAACATCATGAATAAAGCTTATTACTGTAATGTCAGGAGGGAATATGTTAGGGTTAGTAACTTTAACCAGCAAACCAGTTGCCATATCAGGCTTTAGACAAATTTGGTTGTAAAGCCTTCGCATTCACTTTATTGATTTTATCTATCATGATATATGTTGAAAGTGACCAATCATATGCCAGTGTTTTAGCTTCTTCTCAGGTATCTCTTCTATGACTAATTTCTATTAAGACTCTCTATTTCAGTCATTAAGAGCACACAATTTTGAATTATGTTTTTCCTTTCCTCATAAATGAGTCAACTAAAAAAGTTTTGCATGAGTTCTCCTGCTTAAAATCCGCTCTATAAATACACCTCTATTAGTTCTTCATTTCACCAACTTACACAGCATCTTTTACCAGATTTAGCCTATCAATATGTCTCAATTTTCAAAGATATCTAACCTTCATGATGGAACTGATAGGTGGAGAATTTGTGGAAGAGTGGTAAGGAAGTGGAATGTGTTTCATAAAATTGCTCCTTCAGATCTATTTTGTATCACTATGATATTAGTTGATGAAGAGGTTGGTATTACTGATCGTCTTTTCCCTTTTCTATATTTTTTATGAAGTTCTTTTTATTAATTTCTATCATGTTATTATTTATTTGTAATCTTAATGAATATCCAGGGTAATAAAATCCAAGCTTCTATGCTGAACAAATCTTTGCTTGACCATTATCGTCAAAGACTTGTAGAAGGGCAAAGTTATTTCATTGCAAACTTTGAGGTCTCACTTAACAATAACCAATACAAGGCTACCACTCATCCTTTCAAGATTACGTTTTCTCAACAGACTTTTGTCAAGGATGAAGTTGCAAACATACCTCCCTATAAGTTTGATTTTCTGCCTCTATCAGAGATTATGAAGCAAACTGAAAGCTCTTATATTGATTATCTTTTTGGTATTTTATTTAAGTAATACTATTATTGGTTGGCTATTTTTTAAAGATTGGATGTTGTCATGTATTAATTTTTTTTATTTAGATGCTGTTGGATTGGTCACCTCCATTGGTGGGCTTGAAGAATACCGCAAAGATAATGAGACTAAAAACAAGCTGAGGATGGTTTTGTCTGACAATGAGTTAGTCTTCACTACTTCATAGAAATATTAAAGACAAGATAAAATTTTTTGTTTGATATTGAATAAGTTTATTATCTATCTTTTTCAATCTTGTATTGTATTAAAATTCACTAATACAGGGGGCATGATGTCGAGTGTATCTTATTTGATGAGTGTTCAACCAATGCATTTATGAATCACTTGGAGATAACTGATCATCCTGCTGTTGCTGTTTTTAACCTTGCACGGATAGGTTTTTCTGAAGATGGTATCATATATACCTCATTTATTGTCTAATTCATTAAGTTGTAATTATATTGTTATTACTTAATGAATTTACTGATGGTGTGCAAATCTTTATCAGGCCGACCTCAGATTTGTAGCTCCTTTAATGCTACAAGAGTTTCATTTAATCCTAGCATTAAAGAGGTCAAAGATTTGATTCTCAGGTTTTTTTACCTTATTTCCCTACTTATAATAGCAAAGCTTAGTAAAGTGTTATTTTTTTCATACATAATCAAACTTGACAGCACCTGATTTTGATAATTATAATTTTTTTAAGTGCCAAGGATAGATCACCAGTAATTGGTAGCTCGTCTCAGTTTTCTCAATCTCAATCCACAACTCCTACTGTCACTAGCATGATGAACAACAACAGGAGGATTTCTATTGCTGAGATACATGATCAAGAGGCTGTGAGTATTTTAGAATTTAATCTTTTAAAATTTCGATGACTTTATATCCTTTGAATTTATGCCTAACTTAATGTGTTATCAATTGGCAGGAAGGTTCTTTCTTGATATTTTGCACTGTTGTTAAGCTAGAAACCCGTCATGGTTGGACATATGATGGTTGTGCAAAGTGTGCTACAAAACCAAAAGAAGTTAATGAGTCCCTGTATTGTCCAAATTGTAAAAAGAAGCCCCAATCTATTGAACCAAAGTAACCTTTAGACTTGAATAAAATGTATCACCAAATGGATGATTTCAAGCAACTTCACAAGTCTTAAATTTCAAACTTACTTTTGTAGATTGAAGATTCACTACACTGTGGCTGATAAGTCAAGAAAGGCCTCTGTGATATTTTGGGACAAGTTGGCTGTTCAGTTGATTCAAAGATCTGCAGCTGAGATGAAGCTAATTCTTAATCAGGTCAATATGTTGTTTTGATTTTTTTTAATAACTTTATTAAGTTAATAAATTATTCAGTGTTAAAAATCTGTAACAATATTTAACTTCACAGGAAGAACGTGCATATGATTTTCCAGATCAACTTGACTCTATAATTGGGAAGAAGTTGCTGTTAAAACTGAAGATTAATCAGTACAATAAAGACTTCCCTAATTCTTCAATCAGTGTTACTCAATACACTGAGTGTGAGGATCTGACAGGACAGTTTAATGATGCTAGCCAAGAGGTATCACACAATTAGTTGAATTCTAAATTCATTCATTTTTCAGTAATCCTTTAACATATGTTATGGTTTTCTAATGTTAATATACAGGTTAATGGTCAGGGTGCTACTGGCATCACACAGGTTAATCTTTTATAAATTACTATTTTGTATACCATTAGTTATTTGTTTTATATATATGTATATATACATACACACACAAGTATCTATACGAAGTATCTTTATTAATATTGCAGGAATTCTAGTCTGGAATGGAGGATATTGACTGTACTGTGGTTGAGACTCCTGCACCAGAAAAAATTATTGCCTCTCAAGTTGTGGGACTTGATGACTTGACAATAACACAGATTGCTTCTAAACTACCCATTAAAGGCAAAAGGAAGATTGCATGCAAAAGAATCAGTATACCACAGAAGGAGGTAAAATCAAATGAAGTGCTTCCCTCATCATCATCATCATCTGTGCAGAAGCCAATGAAAGTTATTAAGCAAGAGAAGAGTTGAAAATGATGGTCGTCCTTGTGCTTATGTTCTACCAGTCATGTGTTTCTTTACTATCCTTCTTATGTTTCCTTCACCTTTCTAGGACCTAGAACTTAGGATTAGTTTGTGTTGTTAAGACTGCTGCTTGGGAAGTACTCTTGTATGAAAGCAAGTGGTTACAATTCCCTTCAGCCATTATGTTTAACTTTTCATTCTGTTGTCTGAACCTTTAATTTAATGCAGTAATTTTTTTTATAAATGTTTATTGTTTTACTTATTTAAACCACTATACTAATCATATACCATACACAATGAAGGACCAAATAGCAGCCAATTGTGAGAAAACTTTATGAATGCATCAATTCCTCTAGCCACGTGAGCTACAATAGTTTCATATCTATCTAAGTATTCAAGCGAGTATCTATAGGTGAACATAAAATGAATGACATGTTAAATCATAAGTTCATTGTATAATAAATCAATTAAAAGCATTTATTACAAATTTTAAGTACAATAAAGCTAAGATTGCATCAAGGGTGTTGCCTTGATTTGTTAGCATCCGTTACTGCAAGACACCTAAGTGAGCTAAGAATAATTCTATCTTGAACTTTTCTTATAAGCCACTGCAATCTATCATTACTGCACAGTAAATACAATACAGTAAATTAAATAATCAAATAATTACTTATTCTTTGTTTTTGCCTTTCAAATTTAGAAGCAAAGCATAGTCCTTTCAGAAAAAACATAGCCAGTTAAAGTGAAAATCGTTGGCAAAATCCAACACACAAATCAAAACCTCCTTAATAGCTCATTAAAGGAACTTAAAAACTAAATTGATAAATAAACTAAACAAATAATAATAATGATGCAAGTCAAAATCATCAGATCTAACTTTATAAAAATCTTGCACAATAGAATGCATTTTTTGTCCTCCCCTCCAATTCTTCTTTCTGTTTCTTTTTGTGTTTGTTGTTGTTTCATCAAAGGAAAGTATTTGTTTATAAAGCATAATGTTGAGAGTTGTGCTAGGGCAATCAACTTTATTTTAAATCATAATTTTTTTATATAACGTGAGCATGTCAAATGCATAATGAGATCTGATTTGGGTAAGAAATTGAAAAGAAGTTTATTAGAGGACGTATATTTAAATACATCATATAAGTTGACTTGATTATAATTTTATTATCTTATTGGGAACTAAGAGAATGGTAGTTTAGAGTCCATAGACAAAAATTATGACAGTAAGGAATGAAGGAGAAGAGAGGTTGAGGTAAAAAATAGAACAAACCTGAGAGATTTTGCTGTGTCAACAATGTCGCTCACATATCAACAATGACTTCATATTATGGCAATGAAGTCACTTTTTTTATACACATGTATTATGGAAGGGCAAATTGAGTACAATTATTAGTTAATGGTTGAAGGCTGCAATATTATTTTGTGCGAATTATAAAAAATCTTCTTATAAAGTGATGTTGACATGTCATTGGGAGTCTAAATTTGTCTTATACATCTGTACAACGTCCAGCTTGCTATCAGAAAAGCTGGTAGCCAAAATAAAACAAGAGTTCATTTACTTAAGTTCATTTTTACAATATCATACAAGTTGAGTTATGTTCAGTACAGAAATATGCCTCCCAAGAAACGAAGATCATGTCATAGCAGCGTTGATGAAGTTATTCATGACAAAGAGAATATCTGCAGCGTTGATCAATCTCCTTCTTCACCACATCAGTCCATCAGTTCAGGTATTTCCCTTCATATTAGCAAAAACACTTTTGATTGGAATACTGCAGGTATAGTAATTATATGGGAGCCTGAATATTTAACACCCTTTGGCTGAGAAATATATATATATATATATATAGAATCTAACTCTAAACAATTGCACTTTCCATCTTCTATTATGAGATACAGCAGTAGAAGTAGGAAATTCTAATCCAGTATCTGTGAAGTGTGTATTCAAGCGTAAGAGTGCAAGATTTAAGGCAATTGAGTCTTTGCAACTTTCTGAAGAATTAGCGTTCATCAAGTATGGAGCTATTTGTACAACCAATAGTGGAAACTATCCTCTAGGTATTTTTCTTTGGTTTTTCTTCTGCCATAGTTTAGATACAATACACATATTAGTTATCAAACATGTAAATTCAAAAACTTAACCATTGATTATGACATGTAGTAGGAAAAGAAGCTAATGTGACACCAGCATCTAAAAATGGTGTTTTTAAACGAAAGAGTGCAAGATTTAAGTCAGTAGAGTCTATGCATAATTCTGAAGATTTGAGTTCCATGAAGTCACAACCATGCTCTTCTAACAAGGGCATCAAGCAATACACAGGTGCCAATTTTTGCTGTTAAATTATACTATATTATTTGATAAGGAATACTTAAGTATATCGATAGTGGAAAATTGTAATTTTGATGAGTTTAATATTATATGTGTTGTATTTACAATTAAAGATGATTAGTTTAAAGTGTAGCCTAATCAGCCCTCTTTTTAACATCCTCATTAGGTTTTGATTTTTTAATTTTCTAACTATATCACGATGATAGATATGATTAGTTAAACATAAAGTTCATTGATATAGATTTAATCTGTCTTCCTTTATACCTCCTTATCAGGCTCTAATTTTTTGAATATCAAAATAGGAAACACTTACTCCAACTCACCGATGGAAGAAATAGTAACAGATGAGAATGGAATTATGAAAGGAAATACAAATAAGCCTGCCATTCTTAAAGGTGCTACCAATATTGCAAGGAATTTAGCTTCAGAGTTTGGAAGATCTTACTGTACAGGTATTAAACTCCATACTTTAACACATAAGTGATTTACCATTTTAAAACCACATGGCATTCTTAATTACAATTTGCCATGCTATAATCTTATAAATTTAGATGAATTTGGTGCCTTTTTCAATTTCTTCCTAACTGCTCTTTTTTTAAAGGCTGGAATACTTCTTACAACCCTGACATTACAGAAGTTGTATCTGAAGATTATAGGATTGATGGAAATCATTTAAATAATTCCACTGTGCTGAATGATATTACTAATACTGCAAGTAAGTTAAGTTCACAACTGCCAAGTTCTTATTTCTCAGGCAATAATTTAAATATCCTCAATGCATTCATCTTATTAATTAAGAGCATAAATTGCAGCATATTTTTATATACATATAATATGCAGGATTTAGTCAACAGAATGTCATACAATTAACATCAATGAATGCAGCATCTACTCCAAAAAGTAACTTACAACATGAAGTGAATAGAGGCATGCGACCGTAAATTTAAATGCTGATTTATAACTTTTTTCTATATAGTTGTGGGTGATTGAACATTTATTTAATTATTTTATTCTTTATAAACCATCAGGACAAGAAGTATACTATAAGGATGTGGAGTTCTCATTTAATGTCAATTCAAATGAGGATAGTAACAGCAGTGAAAACATAGATCAAGATTTTGAAGGTAACCGTTACTTCTTACATTATGTATGATTAGTTTTATGCTTAACTGAATTTATTAATTTACAATCAGTATTGGTATATCAAGTGAAAGACAACATACAACAAACACCTTGGGATTCTGAAGACTTTAGTACTTCTAGATCTTTAGATAATAAAGGTACATCTTAAGTTTCTCATAAATACATGAATCATTTTTATAAAGATTAAGCTAATATTATTGCACGGTCTATTAACAGATTATATTGATGAAGGAAATCCTACCGAAAGATGCAAGTTTTGTCATGCATTATTATGGTTCAATGAACGTGTTAAGAAGGACAAGTTTAGAACTATCAATTCATTTTCACTATGCTGCCTTAAAGGGAAAGTATTGTTGCCTCTAATAAAGACTCTACCCTCATCATTGCAAAGTCTATTCTTTGAAAAGAATTCTGAGCAATCAAAGAACTTCCTGGCAAATATAAGGCAATACAACAACATGTTCTCCTTCACATCAATGGGTGGAAAGATTGACCACTCAATGAATTCTGGTGGTGGTCCTTATTCCTTTATTTTGTCAGGATTAAATTATCATAGGATTGGAAGTCTTTTACCACCTGAAGGCAACAAACCTGTTTATTCTCAACTATATATATATGATACACATAATGAAGTAGCCAATCGAATATCTGCTGTGAGGTAAAAAGTCTTGCGGTTTTGGTGATAAAGATTTGGTTTTTTTCATTAAGAATGTATATCTAATAATCAATTTCATTTCTTTATTTCAGTAGGCATAAAAAACAAGAAAGCATTGATGCAAGTGTAGTTTCTACTATAAAGGTTGTTCTTGATGAAGCTAATCCATTGGTTAAGCAATTTCGATTAGCTTCATCAATATTACATAACAGTGAACATAACAAGTTAAGGTTATGCTTGCTTAGTACACGAGAACATGATGGTCGGACTTATAACATACCTTCAGCATCTGAAGTTGCTGCTTTGATTATTGGTGATATTGACATGTCATTTAATAGAAGGGATGTCATAATACAAGAACTATCTGGAACACCTCAGCGAATTAATGAACTGCATCCTTCTTATCTTCCACTACAATATCCAATAATATTTCCATATGGTGAGGATGGATATAGGGATGATGTTGATCATAGAGAAGAAACTCTTAGTTCGACAAAGAAGAAGAAGAAAGTTAGTATGAGGGAATACTTTAGTTATAGATTGATAACAAGGGAAAATGAGGTTTCTGTGTTGCTACATGCACGTAGGTTGTTACAGCAATTTATAGTTGATGGTTACACAATGATGGAATCACAAAGATTACTTTGGGTAAGAACTCATCAAAAAGAGTTAAGGATAGATCTATATCAGGGTTTGTCAGATGCTTTGATGAGTGGTGAAAGGGATGCATCATCAACAGGGAAACGCATAATCTTACCATCATCATTTACAGGTGGGGCACGGTATATGATTCAAAACTATCAAGATGCAATGGCAATATGTCGATGGGCAGGATATCCAGATATTTTTCTCACATTCACGTGTAATCTAGCTTGG